TATCTAATCCTATCTATCTAATCCTGTCTATCTAATCCTATCCATCTAATCCCACCTATCTAATCCTACCTATCTAATCCTATCTATCTAACCCTGTCTTTCTAATCCTATCTATCTAATCGTACCTATGTAATCCTATCTATCTAATCCTATCTAGTTCTATCTAGTTCTATTTAGTTCTATCTACCCCTATCTAACCCTATCTGACCCTATCTATCTATCTATTTATTTATGTATCTATCTATTTATTTATTTACCTATCTATCTATTTATTTATCTATCTATCCATCTATCTGTCTATCTGTCTATCTGTCTATCTATCTATCTATCTTTCTATCTTCCGAATCCTATTTATCTAATCCTATTCATCTACCTATCTATCTATCTATCTATCTACCTATCTGTCTATCTATCTATCCATCTATCTATCTACCTATCTATCTACCTATCTATCTATCTATCTGTCTGTCTATCTATCTGACTATTTGACTACCTGATCAAAACTAAGCCTAACTAATCCAATGTAATTTTAAAACCTAATATAATGGATCTATCAAACGATACTCCCGTAGGATACCCATACTCCTACACCAATATATGCTCCAACAGATGCCCGTCCTTATGCCACCAATCCAGTTCCTAATCCAGTTCTGTGCTTTTCTGACTTGACCAGGTACATTATATTTCAATATATTTAATATTTGTATCGACTTGGTCTGTGAAGCCCCAGGTTTACGTGGCGAAAGATGGCATCGGTGTCAGAAATGCCCATGGATGACACCAACGAAGAGGTTCGCACGGAAACGTTTTCGGAACAGCAAGTGCCTTCCACGCTCGCTGTCCCACTGTCGCCATCTCTGACCATCTCTGACCACCTCTCACTATCTGGCACACCTCATGCCACAGAGAAGGCAATTCGGCTGTGGTATGCCTGGTATGCTTGAAACTGCACTTAGTTTTTCATGACTTGTAAGCCTTGTCACGCCTTTATTTGATGCAGATCAGGACTTGATCTTCTTTGAACCGGCTTTGTAGACGCTTAGCGACATCGCCAACGAAGACCAGGATGAGTTTCCAAAAGGCAAGCATCCGCCATATTTTTTCCTATTCAACTAGTGTAAACAAGGAACCTTTATCCGATATGAAAGAGATTGATTTCAATGTCAACTCGGTTCAAACGTACTGTCAGCTTGGCTTGGACAGGTGAATTTTGTTGTTCGTCCCTTCGCGGTTCGGACACGTATTTGGTTTTTGTCAGGCATTGGCCGAGCTCAACGCATACGGCTCAGAATTTGCAGCGCAAGTGAAGTGTTCAAGGGGCCCTTCTACCTTTTCGGTTCTACCTTACTACTTATTTCTATATCTTTTGACACATCTCTATTTGGTATGACAAGGACGATCAGGGGGCATCAACACTATGCAGCAATGCATCATGTTTTGTTTCAACATCGCCACAACGTGCCACAACGTGCCACAACTCACTCAATTTTGCGTTGTGTATCTAGTTTTATGATGGACAATCCCGTGAGGCTGGTACTGTTCTGACACTGCCCGAGGTGAAGTGCCAAATATGGGCCCGGTACACAGGCGAAGTTGGGGAGTGTGAACTGGTGAGAGTGAATTGAGTGAAAGAGGAAAAACGATTCAGATGCCAAAGAAGCATTTGCGGATCATTTGCGATATTTTTGAATCGGCCACCCTCAGCCTGGGAGACCTGAAAGAATCTGATTTGAATCAATATAGTCAATAATGCACTGACCTGGGTGCAAAACCAAACCATGATAAGTCTGATGAGCAGGTATCCCAACTTGTTGGTGGTAAGCAAACGTGTCCATATTGAGCTGGCGTTGACGTGCCACATAGTAGTGACCTTGGCTCTTCGTGCTGGCGATAATCTGTTGCCAGCTGGCAGGGCCAGATACTGTACTGTAGGTCTTCTGCAAGAACGTGATGCAGAGAAGCAGAACTGCACTGTCGAACACCGACATTAGCTGTTTGCACGATTTTCTGAAGTCGACAAGAAAAGATAGTTAAAGAGGGGTCTTTCAGCATGCTGGCTATAATTCTTGGATTTCAGCTTCGTGAATTGCAATGGAGGTGGCCAAAGACAGTATATACTCAATTTCTCTGTGCTGATTTTACGGCCGCTTCAAATTCTAGAATGTTCAGACGCTATCAATGTATTAAGTAGATTTAAGTAGTGTAAAGACTCGTCCAGCAATGGTCTTTGTCATGTACAAAGATCGGAGATGCAGAAACTTGAGAAACTCTGTTCCGCTCGGTCTGCTGTTTCTTGAGGTGTTCCGACATTATGATCTCCCTCAGCCAGGTCAAGAGTGGTGCTTCAAGCAGCGGGAGAGCGCAACTTCCACGTCTTTTACCAGTTATTACTTGGAAGCACAGAGGCGGCTCATGGGAGAGCGAACGAAACTCTTCAGGAAAATGGTTGAAGTCTATTAAGTCTATATATTCAAGTTTGGAGATAGGGGAATGATTATCAACCTGGTACTGTCTTGCAGCCTTATTTTCATACTCCAATTATTCAAGCGATTTCATGCATCTTCAGGGATGAGTCACAGGTCTTAGTCTTTGTCGACGTTTTCTCATTCCGCCTGTCCTCTCTCAACCCACTGCCGACCTTCTTCATCCAGGAGCAGCGACAAAGGCACCGGCTACGACAACGAGCTGAAGATTATGCAGGGACTCAAAGGTCGTTGGCAAAGAACCTCGGGACACTGTTGCAAATAAACATACAAATGTCGATCCGATCATGATTTTGTCGCTTAGCAAGATAAGAGGCAGCTTGCTAGTCGTGATGACCGGTGCCAAAGCAGGCAAATAGAAACAGCAGGGACCAAATATAGGCGAATACAATCGAATACATACATCACTGCATGTATCCTTTCTTCTGAAGAATTAGACTGTACAGTACTCCATGATTCTACAGATTCTACAGATCCATCGGTCTTTTGATGTTTTATATATGTTTATATATGTTTTATTGCTTTGGTCATTGGTTTGGTGTTTTATGTGTTTTGATGTTTGAAAGCAAATGTCACCAGAGGCGATGCTGCGTGGTGGCGGAATCCTACAGGCGCAGCGTCAACATCAAGACAAGTTTGACAAGTTTAACAAGTCAGCATTCTGGATGTTGTATATGTATGTATATGTTGTCACAGGTTAAACAAACCATCAAGATAAGAGTGATAAGAGGCAAGTCAGCTAGGGCATGCTAGGGCTGCCGGGCATTTCCTTCAACAAAGCATTTTTGACTGATTCAGGTTGATGGCGTTGACGACGAAAATGATTGGCAAAGGCACAAAGAGCTCGTTTGAACTCTTGTTTGATGCTGGAATTTCAATCGATTCCTGCTATTTAGATTTTGAAGCTGAAGTCATTTTCTGAGTCACTGCTTTTGCCATGTTCAGAGAGACACTGGACCACCTTGACAGGCTTCTCGTTGCATTCAAAGCAGTTGGAGCAGATCAGGACCCGCTGAGAAGAGTCAGTCACATTCCCATCTCTCATTGTCAATGAATCCAGGACAAACGCTCATTTTGAAGTAAAGCAACAACATGTGCAACACGTATAGATTCTGGGTAAATTATAGCGACCTCACTGCAACCTCACTGGAATAGTGATTAGAAAGGGGGCAACTATCCCCAAATGTAGCACACAGTTTTCATGAAGATTAAGCATGGGCTTCAGAAAGTCAAGCCCATGACCTCTGGTCAACGGTTCAGATAGGTTCAGATAACTCAGATAGTTCATGGGTTTAAGCCGCGTAGGCGGAGGAACGGCTTGAACTCCTACCTTGTCCAGCAGCCCAGTTGAATTCTTGGCTGCAGGACATGCTGAGTGGCGTTTTGGACCTGCTGCGTCCTGGCAGCACCGATTGCTGGCACCATGCAATCACAATTTCCAACAAAATCCACGCGGGATGCTGGAAGATGTTAGCAATCTTTGGTGAACCAGGGCAGGGGCTTGAACATGGGAAGCATGTCAACTTAAGTCTAAGCTGTTTAAACATGCAATGTTGATGCGAAGTCTATCAAAATCTGGGTTTGCCTTGCGGCTTCGACTTGATCCCAGCAAGGTCGGCTACTTTGCTTTGTGGGGAGGCCAGCACTTATCTTTGCCCCAAACGGTATCAGATGCTCCAGGTAAAGGCCCAGAAAGGTGACTAGCTATTGATGTATGGACACCATTAACTTATTATAAAATCTATGAAGGGCGAGCCAGTGACAGGTGGCCCGACCCATCTGTTTCGGGTCCCAGCTTAGGGATGCAAAGACATGCAGAGTAGAGGAGTCTGTTGATAGGACGTTGAGGACGTTGAGGACTCAGGCATACTAGGAAAGCAACCAAAACAGGATTCCGGTTTGTCGGTGTATGCAGGCAGTACAGTATAGCATATGCTTTCTTTTCCTTTCATATGCTTTCTTTTCCTTTTTTGTTGCCGTTTTTGTCTCTGTGTGGCTGGCTGTTGGTAAAGCGGTGGTGTGGACAAGCTTTCAATTTATTTGGAATGTGCTGGCTTTGTCTTCCAATGCGTAAAGGATCATAGAGGAAAAACGCAATGCGAACTTTCCAGCATGGCCTTGTCAAGATGGTGAACTTTGTCTAAAGACTTGCCGTGTGAAGGATGACCTAGAGATACCCAGAGTATATTTTTGAACGTATCAGCCAAGTCCATCTGCGTGTCCTAGAGTCCTGGCTCAATCTCCTGGCTGCCCGGTACTCAAGCCGGATCTTCGCCGTCGAAACCTCAGTGTCAAGATGCCAGATGTCCAGATGTCAAGGGGTGTAACTTAAGGGATTGCCAATGCTAGACTATGCGCTGCTAGTGCATCCATGTGCATCCTGATGCATCCTGTCCTTTTTTTTTTTCGCTTTTTGCATTCTCCAACTGATAAAAGACGCTCAGGTGGAGAAAGAGCTTTTGCTCAGCAATTTGGAGATGCGAAGCGTAAACATCTCGGATCAGAGCTGGAGCTTGCTGAAAGGACGATGAAACTGATGAAACAGTTTTGTTGAAGATCTCGCGCGTTTTCAAAACCACATTGGCTTATGCAAAGTGAAAACATCGTACTAACTTCCTCCAGTCAAGAAATTTTCATTTATGATCATTTCTTTATGTGTGTCAATTATGTCAGCGATTCGTTAGCCGCTCTCAGTCTAAAGGGTCGCTCTTCTTGTGCAGGAGGGAACGGAGACGGAGGCGAGCAGCGCCCAATCCTTCAGTTGCCTGGTGCAGTTCCGCCTTTGCTGGATGATACCGGAGATTGTACCTTGATTCTCATCTTCCCACGCGACCAGAGAGCAGGAGGTTGTGTCGACCACCATCACACTGTGGAAGATCCCTACGACCTTGCGTGCAAAGTCTTTCTCAGTGGCGACAATCCTCACAGCGCCGACACGCTCAGAAATTTCCAATACATCAAGGAAGGAGAAGAATTGGACATGGAGCTTTATCAGGCTGACATCAGGGCGCGCTTCCTGGAGATTCTGGGTCATTCAGGCATCATTGTCAATCAATTCCCAAGCCTGGACAAGGACGAAGACTTTGTGACCCTCAGCCTTCCGCTTGAGGGCCCGACCATCCAGTTCATGGCCCAAAGGCAGGGCAAATGTCGAAAGTGTCGAAAGGCTGTAATTTTGGCCACCGTGGGTATGGTGTATCTTCTGGTATACAATTTTTTCTTAGGCTTGAAGCCACCAAGGCACTTTCCTTGTCTTTTGGGCATGATGACTGCACCACTGACACCGCCAACAACAGGGCCACCACCACTAGTGGCAACACCACCAGTGCCAAAAATAAACCACCAACGGCCAACAGCAAACGAAGGAACAAGAACGACAGGATAGGAAGAATTGAATTGAATAATCAGATATTTGGACTAGTCTGGATTCTTGTTGGATTCTTGTTGAATTGCTTTGAATTGCTTTGAATTGCTTTGAGGCTGGGCTACAGCATGCCACTGAGAAGAGAGGCCTATGCTAAGGTGAAGCCCAATGGTCCATACCCAGGTCTTGAGCCCATGAAGAACTTCGATGGCCACGAGGCCTGGTGCCCTCTTGGCCGCGGCCTGGTATACCGAAGCGACGTTAAGCAACGTTCCAAGCAACGTTCCAAGCAAAGTTCGAGATATTTGATGATATTTGAATATCTTTGAGTCTGTTAGATTTCTTGAAATTTGTTGGCCGTGGATCAGTAATCATTTTCTAAAGGTCTTTATGATTCTTTTTGTACCTGAGGCATTTTGCCTCCGTCCCGTCATAATGTTTAATCCTGCCAGGTCTTGGCTTATGACCGTTTCAGTATCGAAGGCAAAGACCACTTTAGCAGCTTCCGCAAAGTCGATGCCATCAGACTATTAGAATTCTGGCTAGACCGGTGGGTCAGTCTGGATGTCATGCAAGAGCAGGGTGTGATCTCAGGGTACTACCCTTGTCCTGATCCTGAAGAACTTGAAGATATGCATCACACAATCCTTTCTTGCAGTGGTTTTCTTCCTGCTAATCAGTTGAAGGGTATCCTGTCCGTGCGTCGATACTTTGGCGACCAGATGGCATTCTTTTCCCGCTTCATGATGCACCTGTGCAACGCACTGATCTATCTTGCTTTCATTGGGGCCGGCTTCTGGATTGCGAGGCGAACTGTGCTCGGTGACGTGCTTGATTTGCACTTGGCATTGTTTTGGCGTTTCGGCTTTAGACACAATAAACATCAGTTTCTGTCTTCTGATCATTTGAGCTTGCACTCTTGTATTTCCTCAATCCCCTAGTCCACATCTAAGGAACAGGGAGAGATTGGCAGAACAGCAGTGGCTGCATTCGTATCTGTATGGGCAGCCATCATGCTGCAAGTCTTCAAGCGGCACACCTGTCGAGTCAGGCAGATATGGGGAGTCACATCAGACGAAGAACCTATAGTGCAACTGAATCCCGATTGGGACTATGAGCTAAAGCGCAGCAATTGTGGTTTCTTTGTGAACCTCGGTGCTTTGCTCTACATTGTTGTGTATGTGGCAGCCATTTTCAGCGTTCTGGCATGGCAGTTTCAATTGGACGAAAAGTCCGTGCTCTACAGCTACTCTTCTTTGATCCTGGTTGCTGTCACCACCCATTTGCTGAAGTGACTTTTCTCTTTTGGGTTATATTTTTTGTGATAAACGTGAAGCAAGGTCAGCAAAAGGGGGGGGGAATGACCGGGGAACGGGCATCCAAAGATATCCAAAGGTCATCAAGGGCGGCAATCTTGTGTGGTCCAAGTTGGCGCCTTGCCTCGTGTCGCTTGAGAACCTGAGAACAGAGAGAGCCTACTCGGAGACTCGATTCAACATATTTCAAAATTCTCAGTGCTGCTAGTGCTGATAGTGCTGGAAGGCTGGAAGAGTCATGAAGAGTTTACCGTTTCCGTCGTTCACATTCACAAGGTTTGACAAGATCTAGTAAGACGAGGTCTGTTCAATTCCTTTTATCTAGAGGACCGTCCCCTTTATGCATGTGCTCACCAGCGCCACATGATTCCCCTCACTATAAAGACAGCATGGAGCTCTCATCACTTTCAGCCCATATTCAAAGGATTTTAAAGGCTCGCTTTCACAGCGAGAAGCTTGGGCTTTCCCCGCCCCAGGAGAAGCTTTCAGCACTTCTGGCCGGAGTGAAGCTCTTTGCCGCTCACTGTGAAATGATCAAAGAAAAGGGAGGAATTGTGAGAGGAACGACATTCACAACATTTCCCAAAGTCTTGAATCTTCTCATGTTCGCATGTCCTTTCCTGCCAGGTAGCGAACTGGCCATTCTTCTCTCATGCCTTTCTGACGAACTTCATTGAAAAGAAATGCGGCAACACATTAGAAGAAGTTGCAGCAGATGCCTGGGAGGGATTTGATGCTACGCAAGTGTCGTCAGAGTCCATGAAGGTGTGGGACCCTGGATGAGGATGGATGAGGGGGGGAGTTGAACCAAACCGAAAATACAGAAAGTGCATCTCCTGTGGCCAAAAGATTGGCGTCTTCTGTGCATCAGAGAATTCTATGCGGTCTCCTGTAGGCTTGAGCAGACTGCAACAATCTTTTACGATTTTAGCTGGATGCAGAATTGCTCAAAATTCCGTGCCTATTTTCTGCTTCGGTCCTCAGTCTGTCAACTTTTGTGTATGTCTCTTTTTCTTTCTCCAGCACGTTTCGTTCTAACCTGACCTGTCCATTCCTTGAGCCCCCTTTCCTCCCATGTGTTCTCTTGACCTGACATGTTCAGAGACATGGATCACACAGGTTCAGTGTGTTCACAAAATCCTCGAGCACTGCTGAGATCTGCTGAGATCTGCTGAGATCTGCTGAGGTTCTGAAGAACCTGGCCTTTAGAAAGGACGATAAAATTTGCCTTCCTGGCTGCGTGCCAGACGACTGGCGGAAGATGGACTCATTTGCAGGTACTACATGTGACTGGGCCGCCTTGGGACTTGGAATGTCCTTGGAATGTCTTGCAGATTTTGCACCACTCTTTATCAATGGTAAGGCTGGTAAGGCTATCGGAAACCAGATGAAACCAGATTTCAAATCTCTAAAGTCTCCAAATGGTTACTGTAGCTGCCACTATACAGGGGTGGAGAAGGCACGTGGGCTGGCGGGCTCACTTTGCTGGTGCAGCACATATCCTTTTGAGGTAGGTTTGGTGTATTTCAAAGTATTGTGCAGTCTTTCAAAGTATATATACAGTATATACAGTATATACTTGTAGTATCTTGTAGTATCTTGTAGTATCTTGTAGTGAAAACCGCAACCATTCCGAAGTCTGGAATATCCTGTGAGATCCTGTGAGTCCATGTTTCCGTTCTGACAGTAGAAAGCAGCCATTGACGGACTCTACGGGTCGTTGCGTTTGCAGGTGATGACGACCTGAGGGCGAACCTCATGACCTACTTCTTCATTCTGATAGCGGTGGAATTGGCTTTTCTGCTGCTGCCCATTGTCCTCTCTTATGTGGAAATCCTCAAGGAGTGGCACATCAGCCATCCAGCAAAGATACTCATAGCGGCTTCTATATAGTTACTATAAGAAGCAGGTTCAAACGCGTCATAGGCTTCACAGGGATTACAACATTTTTTTCTTTAGGTGGGTCAGAACATTTTTTGCGACTAAAGAGACCGTGGTTCAAGAACAGTTCTGTGGATCCCTTTGTGCAGGAGTATCGGAAGGTGCAATCAGCAGATGCCGAGGAAGGCTCTTCCACCTACACGTTTTTGCAGTGGGAAGCGAAGAAATTTCCGTACATTTTCGATTCCTGGGGTGGTGACAAGATAAATGACTCTTGGCAAGCCATGGCAGTATGCTGTACAGGACCTGCCCTCTGAGGTGTTCCAGATTCTTTTCCACATTTTGACTTGTCCCTGCCTAATGGGATCCAATGCGGAACACTGATAGGGTGAGGGAGACTCTGGTAGACTCTGGTAGTTTCATGGTTTTGGTGGCTTTCCCCTGCCAGCTTTGACTTGAGCAGAAATGTGACGTGATAGGCATGTTGTTTCAAAACATTTCAAAACCAACTCAACTAGTGACTGGAGTAGATCCGGTTGCTGCTTGCTTTACAATTGAGGACTATTTGGAAGTTGCAATTTCGTATTCGGTGATAGTTTGTTGGGGCAGCATTTCCCCTGTCACTCGGCTTGGCAGTGAGCATTTATTGTAGCAATAGCTATCAATAGCTACAGTAACACATAATCTGAGTGATTTTGGCTAGCCCAGCAAAACGAATAACACGACAAAGCTTTTGGCAAAGGGTTGTGCTGACATTTTCATGGTCAAAGAGGCGATTGATTACATTTGCCGCAAGGTGGTTGCAGTCTTTGGATGCATCCAATTCTTTGTTTCTTACCGCTTGCGAATCTATCGAATGCTCTATGTAACACGAAGACCTCAACCGAGGCCGGGCCGCCCGGGCCGGGATCAAAGCCACGGGGGCCACGGGGTTAGAGATTTTAATCCGAGTCCAATGAGTCCAATGAGTCCACGCTTGGTTTGGACTCGTTTGGACTTTTGGAAACGATTCCAGGAAAGCACAGTGCTACATGCCGTGCTACATAGTCTACTTACATAGTCTACTTACATAGTGCTACATAGTGCTACATATAGTGCTACTAAGGAGATTCTGACAGATTCTGCAGATTGCGGTTGGTTTTCACGCCAAGTTTTGTCCAGAAATGCTCCTCTTTTGGCAAAGTGTGTTGTCAGATGTTGTCAGGGTGGCAGCAGGGCTTGGCATTTGGAGTTCTATCTTTCAGACCATTAACGTGGCCTGGCCCCAGGGGAGCAAGGGAAGAAAGGGGAGTCTGGCGGGGTTACTGGCGACCAAAAACTATTTAAATAATTTTAAATAAGCAATCACCTGGCGACCACATTGGTGTAAGGGAAATTCAAGATTTTCTTGCTTGGTGCCAGATGTGATCAGCTTGATGTTGACAAAAACACCATACAGCATCATACAGCCACGTACAATAAAATCATGTATAAAGTCCAATTTTCCCGATCTTGGTCTCCATAAAGTTTTTGTTTCTGCTCAAAAAGGATTGAGTTGGGACTCCCTCACAGCTGTTTGTCAGCCTTTGCACGCCGAGCAGGTCAGCGCAGTTGCTATGAATGTCGGGCTCATTTGTTTCTTCTACTACCCAGGACATGTTAAACTGTTGCACATGTTAGGGTTGCAAAGGATCGTTGTACAAGCCATAACAGTGGCAGAAGATTGAATAGCTCAGCTTATTCTTAGATAATCTTAGATACATGGTGCTCAAGAAAGCGTCCTCAAGATTTAGGTGCAAGAATTTGACCAACCAATCCATCTTTTCAATTTTTACTTTAAAAATAAGATTAAAAACAAAATTGAATGCTCACTTAGTGGGCTTATAGTCATCGTGGAGAAGCGGATCTATCTAGATTTGTGGATATGATATCAGTGGTTTGGGTTCGTCGAACTTCAAGTCTCGTTTCCAAATTCGATGCTTGTTGCTCGGCTCCATTTGCTAACTTGGTAGGAAACACCCTGCCCTTGTGGAAGCGTTTGGCCCTGTTCCTGATTGCGGAACATGTGGTTTTGATGCTTCAGTCTACTGTGCAGTTCTTGATCCCGGAGAGTGCACACGACGTGGAAGAGATCAAGTTACTTGTCTCACAAAAATGATGAAATACTCGACTGCAGCAGATATGGACGTCATGTGTTGGTGGTGAAGGGCTGTGGAAAATGTGGAAATGTCCTAGCCCGACAGTGGCATGCCACTCTTTCCCGTCTTGTTCATGTCCTGCATAGCTAACGGCATTTATTAAAAAAGTAAGTTTCAAAACAGCCAAAGTGTCATGGGCTCAAGTAGCACAGGAGTACGTTCTTCACTTCGCAGCTCTTGTGCTCTCAGCGTTTTTTTGAAGGTGATAATGCTTGTTGACCCACTGGCACGCAACCGGGCACCTTGCGATTAGGTTCTACAACGAGCACACGACCTCCCTCTTGCGAAACACCACCGGAAAGACCCACCGTGACTTCGTGCAACCCACCCCGTTCAGCCATATCAATTTGGCAACGAATCCGGAGAACCTTGTAACAGACGACGACGATGACTCAGCTTAATTGAAATATGAGCCCTGCGGACTTTCTCCTTTTCAGGTTGATCTTGGGCAAAGACTTTTGAAAGTTTGCAGAGGTAGAATCTGGCCGCAGAATTGTACTATACTATACTTTTCATGAATTTCATGCCGGAACGGCTTACAGGAAGCCAAGCTGGCGCATTGATTTCAGCACCTGGATGATGATTTCAAGAGTGTTATATAGTCTCTTTGGCATCTTTTAACGAAGATTTGTGTTAGGTATTTGGCTTCTGGCACCAGCCTTTGGCAGCGAATTTCAAGTGCGGCTCAAAAGATATGAACTGCGGAGGCCATGATTGGTAGAATGTCAGAACTAGGCTGCATTCTTTGTTGAGCCTGGCCTCAACATGTCGTCTTTGTCTTCAGATCTACCACTCATGGTAGCTGAGCAACGGTCAGAAACCCAATGACCAATCGGTTAATGAAAGTGAAAAAGGCGCACGAGAAGTCGAGAAGCTGCTGGAGTGGCACCTCAAAGTAGATGGGATCGTCTTCCGAAAAGCAAGATGGAGGGCAGCCTTCCCCATGCCTTTTCGATAGGGCCACCTGAACCACCGTTCGACTCCGTTCGATTCCGCTTTTCGTATGCTTTCCGTCGCAGCTCAGAGGATTTCCACTGCATGTCCCACATGGACCACTCCCTTGGCAGGTGCAATGGGTAGGCGAGTCTCCCGGAGATGCTGCAGAGACCTGGCAGCACATGCCCCATGCCGTAGAGATCCTGATTGATCCTGATGTGTTAAATGTGTTAAGTATTGTTAAGTTACATAAGTTATATAAGACAATTCTAAGACATTATACGACAGTCTTTGAATTCATTGAAAGCTCCGAAGTATTCCTATGTATTCCTAAGTTTTAAGTTATCTAAGTTGTGTTTGGAATATTTTGGAATGGCGTCCCGAAGTTTTCTTCCGGGGTCAGCCCGAAAGGTTTGTGCATCTCCCGACACCTTTGAAGATCTGGCAGTCCTTTTGGGGGTTCAGCCGCAACTATTGGAGGCATGAGTGGTTCGATGCTCCAAACTGTAGGAATTGTTTGGAGGAACATTTCACCTACATCAGACAATCAGGGTCTGGTTTGCGGGAAAGCAGGACGCCTTCCAAGTCCCGTTCTCCACAGCTCAGTCACACCTCCAATTCGTAGATACAGCGCCTTCACAGCAAATTGAATCAATATGAATCAGTGAATCAATTTCATGTCGAATTCACAATCTGTCCGAGCAGGTAGCGTTGAGTACCAAGAAGCGAGTGATGCCCCGGACTAATTGGACTAATTGGACTAATTGAATTGGATGATCTTCACCGTCTTCACCACCAATTTTGTGTTTGGCGGAAAGCATGGTGCTGCTAGCCACGAGGGCAACCCGTACTGGAGGGGTTGCCGAGATTTTGCTTATTTGCGGCCTATTCCATGGTTAAAACCACTGTCAATCCTTCTACATTTTTCACATGATTAGTTTCTGTTCTGTATGATCTGTATGTTCTGTTCTTGGTTCTTCAAAACCAAGAGATGCCCACAGACTGTGAATGGGCTCGAGGCCTCGGGGATCAGTTGTGAGTTCACCCCTCTCGTACCGGCCCAAGAGGTTTTGAGACCTGGAATCCTAGAGGAAACAGTCGAATCAATTGAATACGTACACAAAAGTCACATACACTAAAGAATACTAAAGCCTACCTTTCTAAAGTCTTGAAACAATTTAGACCAGTTGAAGCCTCACCCTTTTGACACTCTTGCCCACTGTAGTGCAACCTGTTTGCCTCCTAATTCAGACAAAGGAGCAGATGCAGGTAAAGTGGCGGGCAAGAAACTATTTCCATCTATTTCCGATACGTTTGTCCGTTGTGGCGTGAGGTCTAGACAATACTAAGACAAATTACTAAGACAAACTACTAAGACAAACTACGAAGACAACTACTAAGACAATACCAAGAGAGACACTAAGAGAGACAGTATGAGACTGGTAGCAATCGAGTTGTGCCCTATCTAGCTGTCAGCCAGGGTTCACCGCACCTCAGGCCCAACCAGGCGAAAGAATTGACTCAATCCATTGCAAGGTCTCTCTACGAGGTGCGATGCCAAAAGTAAACCCTGCATTTGAAGGTTTTTTTTGCCCCAAAGGGCCAGTATATTCCCAAAGATTCATGTTATTTTCCCCTTGATTTCCCTTGATTTGAAGCAGTTCTTGAACATTTGGGACAGGTAGTTTCTTTTGCAACTTGCACCATTGCTATCCATTGCCCCCAACTACTTGAGACGTTCTTCTCAGGCTCTCTTCATGTGGGCTGTGGGCCTCATCAACACCATGAGTCGAGGAGGTGCTACTCCTTGTGAGTACTCGAGACGAAGCAGTCAAGATTAGGGCGGTGAAAGCAACAAATACTGTATCAAGCAATTTGAATCAATTTGACAAATGTCGACACATCATCAATTTGGATTCACTTGGAAGATTGTTAAGTCATATGAAGTCACCCAAAGTTGAAGTCTTGTCTGTTTTTTTTTTTGCGAGGCAAGGCAACAGCCCCAAATCTGCCGTCTGGGGGCCTTGGACGATTCGCATGCCAAGTTGTCCAGCTGAGATTCCTGTTGATGAAGTATGATGCAGTAGATGATCAAGCGCCATCAGCGCCATCAGGCATACGGAGTATATTGGAGTATAGAAGGTCTGATTTCAAGCGCCCTGTGATGCCAATGAATACCATGAAACGGTCATCAAATTAAATTCACTGACAGTGGAGTACCGGCCTGCACATATAGTCATATTCATATAGTGGCATGTCACGCATGTCCTTGTTGACGTGAAATATGTGAAACATGCAGGTTTGCGGGGGTCTTGGATATCTTTGGGTTCGAGGCGGTGCTGACTCCTTTCTTGTGAGGGTCACTGGGACAAGTTCTTCCTCTTGTTGCACATGATATTGTCATATATTATCTAGTATTGTGTATACTCAGTATAGTATAGTATAGTATAGCATAGTATAGTATAGTATAACATAGCATAGCATAGCATAGGGTAGGATAGTATAGCATAGCATAGCATAGGGTAGGATAGTATAGTATAGCATAGAATAGGGTAGGATAGTATAGCATAGCATTGCATAGCATAGTATAGTATAGTATAACATAGCATAGCATAGCATAGGGTAGGATAGTATAGCATAGCATAGCATAGGGTAGGATAGTATAGTATAGCATAGAATAGGGTAGGATAGTATAGCATAGCATTGCATAGCATAGTATAGTATAGTATAACATAGCATAGCATAGCATAGGGTAGGATAGTATAGCATAGCATAGCATAGGGTAGGATAGTATAGTATAGCATAGAATAGGGTAGGATAGTATAGCATAGCATTGCATAGTATAGTATAGTATAGTATAACATAGCATAGCATAGCATAGGGTAGGATAGTATAGCATAGCATAGGGTAGGATAGTATAGTATAGCATAGAATAGGGTAGGATAGTATAGCATAGCATTGCATAGCATAGTATAGTATAGTATAACATAGCATAGCATAGCATAGGGTAGGATAGTATAGTATGATATAGTAAGTATATAGTCTAGTATAATCTGCTGTGCAGGCAATCTGATTGCAATGTAGCGCGACAGATCCCAGAAATGCATGGAAATGCTGTTTTTGTTGTTTGTTGAGAGCATTCCTCCACCCTTGATGGAGCGTGCATTGCAACACCTGAGCAGATGGAAGCGAAATTCAATTGATTCTACTAAAATGTTAGGCTAGGCTGTTTATTGCCATAGAGACAGATTGAATGCAACTCTTCAGTACTCTTCACTGATCATTTTTACAGAAAAAACACCATCAGTGTTTGTCTCAGAAGCTGAAGCTGGGAAGCCCACTATCAACCAACCGAATGCATTCTTCTAACCCCAGCTCTGTCATGGTGGTGATGCAGGCTTTCAAGCTGAACTCCCTGGAGCAACTCCTCATCAACTACTGCAACGAGCGATTGCATCAGCTGCCAGTCATGCAGTGGACAAACAAAATTTTGTCGAGAATTGGAAGCTGCTAATGAAAGACCACACACACATGTCTTTATATATATATATATCTATACACATAATGTATGGATACTTTGAAAGGAAGATTGAAACAGACTATAATGGGATTTGGCAGAGTATCTAGTTGTGATGGATCATTGAATCATACCCATTAATATCGCTATGATACGATCGGGTCTCCGAGAGTTAGTGCTGTATATGAGTCTCATTAGCTCTATCAAACACGATGAATAGCCATGAAATCCGGCATGAAACATGATGTACTCTCTGGCTTGTGAAGCTTTTCCCGTTGCTTGCCACAGGGAATGTTGGTGTTGAACAGGCAGGTCCCTATCCAGAGCCTCGGGATATGATATCCTCTCAAGACGGTCGCCGGCAGCGAATGCCAATGTTGCGCCGCCGGCATTACCCAAGGGAGAACCAGCATGCCAATTCATGCCACGAACTGTCACTGCTTGCTTTCTGTTTGAAAAGCACCTGATCCATCTGATCAGGAGAGTTGACAGACTGCATTGGCCACTCTTACTTATGGTGGATCATATGGTACCATCGGGTCTCCGAGAGTTAGTGCTGTATATGAGTCTCATTAGCTCTATCAAACACGATGAATAGCCATGAAATCCGGCATGAAACATGATGTACTCTCTGGCTTGTGAAGCTTTTCCCGTTGCTTGCCACAGGGAATGTTGGTGTTGAACAGGCAGGTCCCTATCCAGAGCCTCGGGATATGATATCCTCTCAAGACGGTCGCCGGCAGCGAATGCCAATGTTGCGCAGCCGGCATTACCCAAGGGAGAACCAGAATGCCAATTCATGCCACGAACTGTCACTGCTTGCTTTCTGTTTGAAAAGCACCTGATCCATCTGATCAGGAGAGTTGACAGACTGCATTGGCCACTCTTACTTATGGTGGATCATATGGTACCATCGGGTCTCCGAGAGTTAGTGCTGTATATGAGTCTCATTAGCTCTATCAAACACGATGAATAGCCATGAAATCCGGCATGAAACATGATGTACTCTCTGGCTTGTGAAGCTTTTCCCGTTGCTTGCCACAGGGAATGTTGGTGTTGAACAGGCAGGTCCCTATCCAGAGCCTCGGGATATGATATCCTCTCAAGACGGTCGCCGGCAGCGAATGCCAATGTTGCGCCGCCGGCATTACCCAAGGGAGAACCAGCATGCCAATTCATGCCACGAACTGTCACTGCTTGCTTTCTGTTTGAAAAGCACCTGATCCATCTGATCAGGAGAGTTGACAGACTGCATTGGCCACTCTTACTTATGGTGGATCATATGGTACCATCGGGTCTCCGAGAGTTAGTGCTGTATATGAGTCTCATTAGCTCTATCAAACACGATGAATAGCCATGAAATCCGGCATGAAACATGATGTACTCTCTGGCTTGTGAAGCTTTTCCCGTTGCTTGCCACAGGGAATGTTGGTGTTGAACAGGCAGGTCCCTATCCAGAGCTTCGGGATATGATATCCTCTCAAGACGGTCGCCGGCAGCGAATGCCAATGTTGCGCCGCCGGCATTACCCAAGGGAGAGCCATCGTGCTACCTGTATCGACATGTTTGTTCCACACGAAATTGCGCATTGACGAGCAAGCTGGTTGTCGTTGATTTTTTTGTTGTGAAGTTCATGACTTTCAAGATGGTGTTTGCGGTGCCAGAAGTATACATGAGGATTCTAATTTTAACTGCGCAAGAGTTGATGGTATTGCCCTGTTTCTTGAATCCTCGTTCCCACAGAAGGTTTCCTGTCTTGCAGTTTCCAGTGTGAATTCTGATGAATACTTTCCGGCTGCTTCAGCAGCAGTCAGCTATGTAGCAAGTATTAGCAAGTCAAGAAAATGGAGATTGTCGATAGTTGCTCCATGTTGCTTCCAAACCAGGTTCTTTATCGAGGCGGCCTTCAAGCGGGAGCAGCAAATGTGCAAAGAAGAAGGCATCAATATTGACTTGAAATTTCAGGACGAGAGTCGCGGTGGTTTTGGCTTTGGTCATTACCCAGGCCAATCCGAGATATCTTAGAAGATGTGGAAGAAATTAATGCTTTTAATTTTTAATGTTGACGAATGTTGACGACGATTGGTTGGGATTGTGGAGTCACTGCCTTGGTGGCGTATGCTGTCGTGCCATTTCGTGCCTGTTTCATTCTCTTCGGATTCTTCGGCACGTCTTTTTGTTTGAAACCTGCTTGTAGACAGCCGTTCAATAGCCCGTTCTTTCAGCACCACTGGCAAGCCGCTGTAATAACTTTAATAGCACACCAAATTGATTTACTGGCATTCCCGATGCTAATTTCGTCCACGAACGCGCTTGATATCCATAAGACATATCGCCAGTGAAATTCTCGATTTGTAGTCGTGAGAACTCAGCAAAAGTCTGAGGAAGCTTAAGGAACACTTGTGACCGCATTCGACATGCATGAGGAAGTCGATCAAGAAAGATAATGATGCGAGGAACATATGCGTAACAGTTTTAAGCTGTCAGACGGAGTTTGACTCTTCCGCAGATATTTGCAGAAGTCTCCAAGTTTCATGCCATGATGTCTTGCCAAAGCATGATTCAAAAGGTTTGCAAAGGAACACGTTTTACGAGAGTCACAGGAGGCACGTCGCCATGTCAATCTGCATCCATACATTATAGCAATCCTTGTAGCGTTTGTTTCAAGCATTTGCACATGTGCACTGATCAGCTTCAGACAAGAAGCTTTCGTGAATTCAATATTGTGAACATTGTGACATAGTATTTCTATGTATTTCTGCAATAGCTGAGGCGGAGCGGAAGTTTCGTAAAGAGGCGGTGGCTATAGCGAAAAAGACACCTATGGAAAGACATCATTTCATTTCGTGAATGTCACATTGACTGAAGATGAAATACATGAAGGAGTACAAATCAAACAAATGAATTACATGAAATGACATGAAATGAAATGAATGAAACGAATGAAACAAATGACATGAATGAAATGCATGAAATAAATGACATGAATGAAACTAATAAACTCTAATGAACACGAACATGAACATGACAATGAACATGAAATCAAGTGACATGACATGAAATGACATGAACTGAAATGAGCAGAACGAATGACAGAACGAACAAACTAACGCACGAACTAATGAATGACATTGAATGAATGAATGAATGAATGTATGAATGTATGAATGTATGAATGTATGAATGAATAATACATTACATGACATGACATGAAATGACATGAAATGCCATGACATGACATGACATGAAATGAAGGAAGGAAGGAAGGAAGGAAGGAAGGAAACCATAACTTGATCTTCCTGTCCCTTTTGGACATCAGTTCAACTCGTTTCAATTGAAGTGACTCGAAGTGAGATTGATTTATTGATTGCTTGATTCATTGTTTGATTGGTTGTTTGTTTGTTTGTTTGATTGATTGATTTAGATGATTGTTTGATTGATTGACTGATAGATTGGTTTAGTGACTGATCATTCTTCGAACGATGATCGATCGATCGATTGGTTTGTTTGTTTCATTGTTTGATGGATTGTTTCATTGATTGATTGATTGATTTGATTTGATTTGATTTGATTTGATTGATTGATTGATTGACTGAGAGACTGATTGACTGGTTGATTGGTTGATTGATTGATGGATTGATTGATTGATTGATTGATTGAACGATCGCTTGATTGTTTCATTGATCGATCGATGGATCGATTGACGGTTGATTGACGGTTGATTGACCGATGAGTGGTGCATTGTTTGACTGCTCGATCGACTGATTGTTTCGTTGATTGATTGATTGATCGATCGATTGATTGATTCGTTCATGTCATTGATGCAAAGTGATTTGCGGTGAAGGAACAGGTTAAAATGAAGGCATGCAATGAATGGATGGGCGAATGACTGAATGAAATGAAGGGAAATGACCATGAAATGAAACGGAATAAATGAAGACGAAATGATCACGAAAAGCAGATGAAATGTACATGAAATGAACAAAGGAATTGAATGGAATTGACATGGGTATGAGAATGGGCATGAACTTGAACTGGAGAAAAACGACCATGAGATGAACATGAAATCAGGATGAATGAAATAAATGTCCTGAAAAGCATTTGGAATGAATTTGAATGAATGACTTGAAATGAAACTGAAGTGAAATGGACATGACATTGACATGAAAGTGAAATGACATTGAAATGAAATTGACATTGACATGAACATGATGAAATGATAGAAAGAAATAATGAATGAATGAACGCATGAATATGACATGAAATGAAAATGAACGGAAATGAAACGAAATGAAGTGAACCGAAATGAACTGAAATGACATGCAGCGAATGACCGAAACAAATGTAAAAATGAAAAAATGAATCTGGCAAAGTGTGCTGATGCAGTTCTAACTACTGCTGATCTATTGTCCGGCCGTCCCACTGAATTGCTGTATTCTTTTTGCAGTTTTGGTTCATTTCTATTTGCTGACTCTTTTCCCCGTGCAATTTTTCCTCTATCTGCGATGACAGCGCTCCTTTTCCATTTGTCGGTACTAGTAATTTGGAAGTTTGCCATATCACAACCTGTATATTACAGAGCCTACGACTTTTCAGACAATGCCGGCCAATGCACACACACACACAGAGCTCGCTTTTTCCTGTCCTTGCGTCGATGCAGCTTGTGCCAGAATGCGATCCGCAGAAATACATATCCGGGCCATTTCCGTTCGGTCTCTTCGTTTCACAACTTCTGCGTTCAATCTTGGGCTTTCCACTTTGCCAAACTAGTCACAGCAACCTTGTCGCAGACACCCCACTGTGATAGAACTACGATGCAAAACCGTCAAACCTGCTATGCAGTGCGAACTCCAGCGACCATATCTGCGACGGCCGCACCAACAACCTCCCCAACCGAACCTCCACATGCACCAAATCTTGTAAGACACAGCATTTTGCGCATGCGTTACCACTTTGCTAATTCTTATCACCAGCCCTACTGATCACCTGTCCCATTGATCCCTTGTTTTATTGATCTCCTGTCCCATTGATCCCCTGTTCTACTGATCAGGTATGTATGTATTATATATACGTATATATATATATACAATATATATGTAATATATATATATATATTATAATATATATAATAATATATATATATATATATTATGAAATATAACGTAAATTTTGATCATGTCACGTTGAAGAAATGTGAGGTTGCTGTAATGTGATAATGAGGCAATGTGAGGTTGAGGTGATGTGAGGTTGAGGTGATTTGAGCTTGATGTGATGTGAGGTTGAGGTAATGTGTGGTTGAAGTAATGTGAGTTTTGAAGTAAGGTGAAGTTGGAATGATGTGGGGTTGAAGTAATGTGATGAACGGATGTGATATTGAGGTAATATGATGTTGAGTTAATGTGATGTTGATCAATTTAGTTCGTTCGTAAGTCAGAAGTCTCTTCTCAAGTTTCCTTTGATTAGTCCGTGCGTTGTTCTTGCTCATGAAACTTGGTGGCAGGACAACTCAAGCATACTTACTGCTATTGACTCTCAGGCAGGATTGAACATGTTGATCGTTCCGAAGACGTCGGCCATTTTCGTGTGCATTTTCAGAGCAATAGAATATAATTGAATATAATTGAATATAATATAAACATATTTAAAAGATAATCAAAGCAGCATTTTGCAATTTGCAAGACTCTGGCCGTGAGGATGCCAAGTCTGGGCTGGGAATCTTGCCATTGCTGGAGGCACAGCACGTGTAGGTGTGTTTTGTGTGTTTTGTGTGTGCTGTGTTCGTATCTTGTCATGGATTTGATTGCGGAATGGGTGGCACTGAGCCCAAATGTTGGACTGTGTGACTGTGTGTCCACCACAAGGCCCAAAGACACCATCTTTGTGGTTCCCAAGTGGGTCAACCATTGGTCAACCATTGGTCAGCCATCGTGATCCTGCAGTGATCAGCTTCAGGAGCAATGCAACCTTCAGTCTGGCAGCAACGAGGCCACAAGTACAATGGAATCGTAATTGCAGCATGTCAAACAACGCCAACGGATACCAACGGAGTCTTGTGTGACTTGATGTGACTTGATGTGACTTGTATGTGACTTATGTGTTTGTTTTCTCCTGTCCTGCATTTTTATGCCATTTTCAGATACGAGAATTTCTGAGATATGCGGAGCTGGTGGGCTTGGATGCTCACGGTCAGCTGTCAGGCCTTCACACAGTCATGCCACCGGAGGTGCCAAACCGAGAATTGACTGATCTCAAGTTAGATTCCGCCAGGATCTACACATCGGGGTATCATTTTTGGATCATTTGAGAACCGGATCTACTTGAGACTAGAGCCGAGATAAAGGAATTCAAGCTGCTGCAGGTACAATAAGCCAGACGTCAGGTAGATGAGAATCATACGACCGATCTGTTGGGGCATTGGTCAGCATTTTTTTTACGTGACAGGTTTGGGAAGAGTCCGGTGAAATGCTATGTGGAGCCCAAGTTGGCTGCCAGAGAGCACTTCGAGATCCTGCATTCGTGCTGCCCTGTGCCCATCAGAAGTTTGAAACTTGCGACTATGTCACTTTGTCACTTTTTCAGTTTGGGATACTATGAACATTTGCCTTGGAGTCATCAGGTAGGTCTCAAGAGTCCTTGCCAAACGACTGTGCGAATCTGTGCGGTCCAGGTACGCTATTGCACCAGTCATTTTCGGGAGAAGAACATGGATGTCATGCCGTCAGAGGTGTTGCAGGTGCTCAGTACTTGGGAAACATCCAGAGGGTTGCCGGGATGTTTCCGGTATGATGCTTTTGGCAAACACATTTTGACAGTATTTGACAGTTGAGAATGTTGAGATTGGCACGTAGCTGGACTCTGCACACACACACACATGTTGGAGGATTTGGAATGCCCCACTTGGAGCGATGTAACGTTCTGCTGGGTTTGTTTGTCAAACTCACAAGATGTAAACTTTTTCAACTAGTCAGTTCCAGCGTAAACTGCGCTTGAGCGATTTTCATCAGCTCTTGGTAAGAGAATTAAGGATGCAATGGACCCATGCAATGGACCCATGCAATGGACCCATGCAATGGACCCATGCAATGGACCTTGACTGGAACTGCACGTGATACGTGAACTGATGGCATGCATTGAAGTTCAGTAAAAAAGCTGCGTGATGTCAAAGTGACATAAAGTGATCATTTGCATCGGCTGGCTCAGCTCCTCCTTGGCAGCAGCAAAAGCTTTGTTAAGGAAATCCTCCAAGGCCTGGATTTTTCAGAGCATTTCTTGTTGCTTCATAAACATCATAAACCAGAGAAAGTCCTGGCGTTCAGCTGGCGCAGACGATCACTGCAAGATGGAAAACTGTTGGTCACAGACCCAGCAACGCATTTGGGATGGATTGCTGCTTTACTTGCCCAGGTATAATGCCAGAGGCAGCGGCAGCACCCACAGACAAGCAACTCGGGCCAACACCTGCAAGCAGTACCTGTAGTCTTTGTACAACGGGATACTTTAAGAATGCAGAGTGGTTTTGCCCTGTTGCAGCAACTTTTGAGCTTTTGACCTAGCGGCTGGATTTAATTGCTGTGCTTGAACGTTATTGGAATTTCTAGCTGCACATTAAAAGATTGAGGCTTCTTAGCCTCAGCGTCGCTATGTTATTTTGCGAGATTCACAGTCGAGGCCAAAGAAGGGCTTCATAGCTGCGCAATTGCTGCGATCTGTCAGTGCGCTGTTTACGTTGTTCGAGCCTCAGCGTGCCTTGCTGTGCATGTGTATTCCTCTTTGTGCGGGTGGCATTGCCAGTGAAACAATAAGATCTGCCAGTCAAACCGTCAAGCTTGGTTGGAACTCGTTTATTGTTTGCTGGGTGCTGGGGGGGCCCCAACAAGCAAAGATTTCTCAACGGTCTCCTGGGTGACATGTTGACCTTGTTTTGGCTTGGAATCTGTGCATGACTCTGTTGAGGTTGCGTTCTTGTGAGCCCAAGTGCGTTTTCCCAGACTGCTGCAACCTTTCAACGTCTTTAATCCTCTTCCATCCCAAAGAAAGCATGCTCTTTTGGCCTCATCCTATTGCGGGATTTTTTGGACACGCCTGAATGATTGTATGGTCATGCTGAAACCAGACTGATTTTGGAGACTGTTTGCACGAACATTTTCAGACTCCATCAGACTCCATCAGACTCTCACAAACCTCTACTTGTAACATGTAGCCAATGTAGCTCAATAGTTCAACATCAACTGCCCAGCATCCCTACTGCCTTGCAGGTTTGTCAAGTGTGTGAAAACGAACAGCAGCAAACTGCCAATGGTCATGGAGGAGGCATCTAGCAGGATGCAGGATGTTTGTAATCGTTTGTAGAGGGGCCACGTACAGGAACATGACGTATTTGCTGATTCCATCCAGATGAAGCATGGGTGCTAGGTGCACTTGGAGAGGAGAGAACTAGTTCCTAGTCGGACTCTAGTCGGTATGATTACAAGATATTACAAGACTTGTTTCACAATGGACATTCTTGCATTCTGTTGCATATTGCAGGCAAAGATATTGCGCCATATAGTATATCTTTGTGCTCCAGAATCCTTCCATCATTTGTCATTTATGCGCACCGAGACAAAGGGACCAGTATGTTTCATCTATGAATCTCCATAGCAGCCATAGCATAGCAGGCATAGCAAACTCCGCATAGTGTTGCAAGACCCAAACAACGCTACCAAGACATACTAATAAATCTAATAATTGTTTTTCTTCAAGTTATCCACTGGAGCCGATCTTTTCCGATCTCTGATTTCTTGATTATTCTTGATTTGACATTAACTTGGCGAATGTCACAGGAACTTGTCAAGAGCCAGCTGCACACCCTGAGCATCATCGAGCCGCGTAGTTAGTCACATATTGTGATATATTGTGCCTGAACTCCCGCATGCATAACGAAATGGTTGAGCATCAGACTTTTCGAGACCCGATGCTGTCTGTATCTGTCTGTTACATTTTGGTTCTGCTTATTTGATCTTATTTGTGTTGTAGGCACGGAATGTAATCACCGTGTCCCTGTTGCATGCTTTGAGGTCGTTGCAGATCGAACGGCAAGGCTTCACTTACAAGAAACTATACAAAGAGATCGAAGCCCAGAGCTCGTTGAGGTCTTTCAACGAGCTGAGTTTCATCAATTTCATTGAGTGTACGGAACACAATCCGCAAGGGTAGTAAACCTACGTCAGCTGTTGAAATGACCAAGAACACTTTGGCCGGACCGTTTCTTAGATTCTTAGATTAGCCCTAAACTGGTTGATGTTCAATGCAGCGAATAGTGTGACTTCGAAGGATGATCTGCTCTCAGGTTTCTTGACGAACACACATCCCTGTGTGCCAGGATCTCAAGCTTTCCTGTCTTTGCACTTCCCTTGATCCTAAAACATGCTATAATATGCTATAATGCTATATAGAATGCATGGTAATATATATATATATTATATATATATATAACTAGCCAGTTCTTGTGTGCCTTTGAATCAAAGACATCCAAATGAGTTCTTGGGTGACTTCATTCACCACGTTATGTCGAATTCTTTGCTCAAACAGGAAGTGTTGGCTGCTTGTAGGGTGGTGATGCTATGGGGATCTACGGGGTGTGAATCATCACTAATCATTTGGAATAGTATTTTTGCTAGATTTCACGTGGAGCAAATGTAGCAATGCTTCGCGACTGTGACAGGTGGCTGTGCATGGCTGTCTACCGTCAGGACCCAGCTGGGCAAGCCAGGCTGTATTGCGTCAAACAGCACGACAGGGTCAGCAGATGTGTGCCTTTTGTTTTCGAAACACGGCCCAGTTGTGTTCAAGATTTTTCGATACAAAGGCGGAAACTATTCCTGTACTTGTGTCGTTCAAGAAGCCATTTCCTCTGGACAAAACTTGCCTTCAGGATTGTCTCTATTTGAATTGTGCAACATGTTTGTCCAATGCAGAGTCCTCAAATTTCTCAGCCACTGAGCTTCACATGCCCCCTTGTAGGTAGCACGAAAGGGAGGCAATGAACCGGAGGTTGCGAAAAGCATGGTCTCTGAAATTCTCAGTGCTGTTTGGGCACTCAGCAGGTGCGTGAGGCTCTAGATAGGATTTAGGTTCACAGTTTGGATGGAATCTAGTCCATAAAGTAGCGCTACTTTGCGGTGGTCGCTTGGCCGCTTGAATGCAATGAAAGATGGCTTTGATTCGAGTTGTTCAGTTGAGCTCTGCGCTGCTCTTCCACACTGGGCCAAAAGTCTCTTGATAATTTTCTTCCGAAGGCCTTTGTGTATGTCACTGTATGTCGTATGTGATCCGTCATGGAAGCGATCGCAGGATTTTTTTGTATCTGTTCCTTCATTAAAAAATGTGCCTGGCTGAAGAAGCGCTTGATGACTTTTGTCCTGCGAGGTTGGTCCACCAGATGGCAAGACCAATGCAACAAAGCGGCCGAGCATGCTGCGCCTGTCTGATGAGGTGGCAAAATATGATAGCAGCGACAGCAGTGACTGCAATACTGACTTTTCATACCTATAGCCTATAGACGATTGTCCGAACTCACAAAAGGCTCCAATGCTCAGAGAAAAGGCTCAGTCGTTTGTATCGTTTGCATTGTATTTTCATGCATTCTTTTTCAGGTGAGCAAGCAGCCATCGCAATCTGACCCGCATCGACCTAGCCTGAGCAAGTTTTTTTGCGAGTATTGTCAGATAGAGCCATTCTTTGTCTAACAGTCTAACAGCTTTCGGCTACCATGTCCTCTTGCAAAACTGCTCTGGCTTTTCTTGTCTGAACCCTCAATACTTTCTCTAACACTTTTCTCAATTTTTCTCCCTTAGGAATCCTCAAAATCTTAGTGCATCCTATTGACATCTTGATCTTCTTGATCTCTGGGACTCTGGGCCATGGTCACCAGTCGATTTCCCTGCTTTAAAGCACATCACTTGAGCGGCTCTGGGACATCCATGGACAATTTTTGATAATTTTTGGGCGTGCCTTTCCAAGGAAAAGGCTTCGCCTTTGGCATGAAGAGAGCATTCTCCTTAGTGCATGACATATGACAAGGATGTTGAGCTTGGAACGCTAGATCCAACTGCCCTTCAAATCATTCAATGCCGCAGAATATGTTCTGGGAAAACGTGTGAACACATTATTCATCATTATTCATTATTCTCTCGTGCCATGCTGAGATCTTCCTGACTTCTGCAATGCAAGAATGGTGCGAGTGCGCCCTCATGTTTGAGCCTGCTTTTCCTAGCCTTTTTTTGTCGTTTATATAAAGTACTTTTAACTACATTTTTCGTTACATTTCCATCATTTCCGCCTCAGAATGCTTGGTGCTGGGAGAGAAAAAACATGTCACTTTTCACAGCTTTTCACAAGCCCATCCCTGTCCTCATCATCTCTTGTCCCTTCCTATATAGATCTATAATCAATAGATTGATATAGATTATACAATTTTATATGATATATAATGATATATATATAATGATTCTATGAATATATATATAGATTATATGATTTATTATATATATATATACACATATATACTATTTACATTAATTTATATATTATAGTTAGCATGAGGCAATCCCGTTTTTTTACAGACCGCACCCCCTACAATACAATAGATTTTAAAGCGGTCGAAACAAAAAGATGGGATTGCTTTACCTTATAGATAATAACATAATCAACAATATCCTAAATCATAACAACAAAACAATACAAAACAAAACCAAAACAACCTAAACAATACAATAGACCATAAAACAGTCTATACTTTAAATCATAACAACAAACCATACACTTAACCTCATTCATAAGCCCATT